CATGATGTTTCTTTGTAAGTCTCGAAACAAACAGCTTTAATTGGTTAAACAGCTCCACCACTATACCAGCCTATACACATTTATATAGATATATGTAATATGTATATATATTATATATATCTCAGTATTATATGAATATATATATACAATATGCATAAAGTGTATTATGTATGCATAATACAAACTGAGCAAATGTGATTAATAGTTCGAACGAACACACACACGCACGTACGCACACACACGCACAGATATAATTTGAACAAGCATTTGAAAAATAATGAAGTTAATATATATATCAATAAATTCAACACATGACGCTAGTTTCAAATTTAAGTTAGCGTGTAATTAATTGAAGGGGATTCACCATCATCTGCCTCACATGATGAAATAAAATGATTAACTGTCAAACAGTCGTTTTTTAATTGTAAGGATGGAGAATGGGTGAATGAATTGATGGGATGAATGAGTCGTTTGTCATTTATAATTTAATTCTATCGAAATAATTTATTAAACAATCTTTAATGCTGTAATATTAAGTTATTATTACAAGTAAAAACACAAACACACTCACACACACATATATAATTCGTTGAGAATCAAAAACGCAAAAGAATTGATATAAAAAAAATCATTGACAAACACTGCATATGCATGTAACAGCCACAAAAACCCAACGTTCAGTAAGTTGGCGAGGAAATCTTCAAGAAAAAACGTCAGTGAAACTAGCATTGATTTTTATAGCAGCAAAAAATGTAAGAAAAAATTAAACAATGCTTTTCGTATTAGATAAGAGACATGTTAAATTTCTATCTGGATTGGATATATAATTACCTGAAAAGAGAACAAAGATATTTAATAAAAGGCATACACAAAAATAACAAACCAATAAAAAAGACAGTGTCTTATGAAGATGTTAGAAAAGATGATAACATCCTGGTGATAACAAAGAATGATGCTAACGCCGTAATGATAACGAGACGAAGTAACAAACATGATGCGACGTGATGATACCATTGATTGATTTAGAACCGTAAAATGATGACAGACACATTAGCATATAATAAAGAACACAGTTTAGTTAGATACGTGAAAATATTAGGAAGATTAGATATCTATTTTATGATGAAGGAGGGATAGACCAAAAATCACTCTAGCCAAAAAAGCCTTTGCATTTGTACTTTGCATTTGTACTGAGATGGATGCTAACTCACCTTTCACAAATAATAATGACATTGATGAGAGTAATTGAGATTTACAAGAATTGTATAATAATTAATAGATTAATTGACCAATCAATCAATCAATCAATCAATCAATCAATCAATCAATCAATCAATCAATCAATCAATCATTGGTTAATATTATTTTCTTCAGTCAATAATACTTAACAGCGTGTACCAGGAAATTATGACAAAAAAAAACATCTTTACAAACACGAAAAGCACCAACGAAACACCAAATACACAACAAATACCTGCAAATACGTGCATGGCATGAACCAAAAACACATGCATACACATAAACAAGTACAATGAACATGCACACACACACGCACGCACGCTCAAACACATCTGAACAAAATATCTGATGAAAATTTATTCAATTTTGCTTAATATAAAATATTTAAGTCGCAAAAAACATTAAAAAAAATATATTTAGAACATTTTCTTTTGATTTGATAAATGAATAAATGATATATATATATATACACATTTGTTTATATATGTATATATAAATATGTGTACGTTGGTTAGCAACTTAACTCCAGAGCAAGAAAGTCTGTCACATCTTCTTGTGATTTAGAAGCTAAAAATATGTATCCACATATATATATATATATATATATATATATATATATATATATATATATATATATATATATATATATATATATATATAAACTTATATGCTTTCACTGAAAATCAATAATAAAAAGTAAAAATATACAAATAATTTTAATGAACAAAACCAAATTATTTATGTTAAGTTACAATTTAGTTAAGATTCCAGAACTGCTGAACTGAGAGTAAATATTGCAATGAAAATTAATCTTTAGCTTCAAACATTATCATCAACAAATTGTTGGTGCAATCCACCTATATAATTTATATATAAATACATATATATATATATTTATATATATATATGTAAGTATATAAGATATCTTCAATTGACTGATTCCTCTTTGATGCTAAAGTCCATTGGAGTATCATAACTTTCATCTTCATCGTCATCCTCCCCATCATCATTGTGATTATGATTATTAGTATTGTTGTTGTTGTTGTCGTCATTATCGTTGTTGTTGATATTATCACCATCGTCGTCATTATCATTGCTGAAACTTTGCTCACTGCGATCCAACAAATTATTATCATTCATGCCATGTAAGCTGCTGCTGATGATGCTAATGTTCTTGCTGATGTTCTCATTATCTTCATAATTAGTTGAATCAGGACTGATGAACTTATCTAGGGACCTCCTCCTTGCATTCATGAAGAAATTTGAAACTGTGGATAATTTTAAGTTTAACTGTTCAGCAATTGTTATCTGCACATCCCTACTTGGCCGCTTAACTTCTTTAAATATGGCCATTAATGTTCTGCGCTGTATTTCAGTGAACACTAATCGAGGCTTGCGGCATGGTTTGTTGTTTTTGCTGCCGTTGATCGAGAGATCCATTTGTAGTTCATGTTGCTGTTGCTCTGCCTGCATGTTTTGCTGTTGATGTCCTTCATCTGATGCTGTCAGCTGATAATTCGATGATGTTATTGACGTCGGGGTTGGACAAGTTGTTGTTGATGATGACAATAACTGGCTGGCAGTAGGTGGGCTCAAGTGACTGATAGCTGCTTTCGAAGATTTGAATTCTGAAAATTTCAACAAATTTTTAAAAATTGCAGTAAGCCATTTGTGCTCTGAAAGGCATCATTTGTTAAGAAAGTGTTAAGCAAATTAATACTAAAGGCAGTACATTAAAAAATATTATGAGAAACACTAACTATAATTGCCAACTGGAGTATATTTCAGCATTGCCAGTCTTTGTTCTTCTGACTGATTCAACCAATCCAACATTCGCCTGAATGTTTCCTTTCCAGCTTTCAGCTTGTTCCATGGTTTAGGGTTTCTTAAAAGGTCACTTAGAGTACCTTGGCTTCTTCCAAGAACCTTCTGTGAGAATACTGCTTGAGGTATGCCATAATGCCTCAATTCTGCTGCTATCATTCGAGCTATGTCCTGAGTACTACATAGATTTTGGTCGAGTTTGAAATTATGGAGTTTGGTTGTTGTTGAGCAATTAGAATGATTAGGATTAGAAAGATTATCCTGTTTGAGCCAAGATTGAGATGTTGAAGAATTTGATTTATTAACTCTCAAATCTTCGGGTCCTGGAGATGAGCAAGTTGAATAATTTGGACAAGAATCGGAATAGCAGGAAGATGATGTGTCAGCTGAGGAGTGTGGAGATGGAGAGCACTTTAAATCCAGTACCTCACCCCCTACATTGCCATTTGACGAATTTTCTGTTTTCACATTAGGAAATGCATCCAATGAAAAACTTTGATTATGATGAGCAAGTGGGTTGGCTAAATTTTTTAATAACAACAATTTACTTAGATATTGTTGAAACGTATCAGAATTCAAGCTATCACTTTTTGAATTCGAGGTGTTGTGTAATAAGTTGGCAGCTAGCGAGTGTTGATACAAATATGTTAAATAAGAAGCAAAGTTAGCAGCAAACTGGTGGTTCTCAACTTTTGATTCCTGCTTCCCTCCTTCAGCCAATCCATCACAATCTTCCTCATCTTTAGAGGCCACATCCGTTGATTCTTTCACGTTATCAACGCATTCCATCGTATAACGAACCATCTATCTTTGATCCAACGAGCATCCGCCTACCTTACTTGAATCTGTTCGTGTTCATAACCAGCTTTCAGTTTTCTTTATGTTCAGTGGTGATTTGATTGATTGATGGCAATGCGCTGATTTCGTTCGTTTGTTGCAAATTTGTTTTCGTTTAATTACCGTTCAAACGAGAAGTCACTCGCCATATAAAAATAGTTATTTAGATATAAAATAAATTTAAATGTTTAAAAAAGACTGCAACTTTGACAACAAATCTCGAAAGATAGACCTTTTTTCTTTCAAAATGGCAAAAATTCAATCCAAAGACGTTAAATGCAGTAAGAGTGCAATTAACTTTTTGCACATTTTTTCACGCAGGAAGCAGAGCAATGCTAAGCTGTCTTAATCATGTCCAATCATTGTTAGATGTTTTACTGTTAAAAACATTCAATTAAAACTATATTTACATTGTTGAATGTTGTTTTTGGGTTAAATAAAACTGGCTTTTAAAAATGATCTAAGTTCATAGTAATGTTGTTTCTTCACATCATTAATTCAATGTTTAGATTTTTCAATAGCATCAGCGCAATAACGGAGATTGATTTAAATAAATAATATAATATAAATAAAATAAAACATTTATTCAACCTATCAACTAAACAATTTAATTGCGCCATCTTAGTTATCGATAAAGCTTCTCAATGAAATTCGCAAACAAAATTGTTTCGAAATTTGTAATTAATGAAAAAATAGCTAAGGATAGTTGGAAAAGAACAGAATTCTAGAGAAGTAGACGGCGAAAGCCAACATAACGTGTTTGACATGAATTGGAGTCAGGAAAAAATTATGTCTAGGCATAATTTAAAAAATATAACAGTAACTATATACTCTAAGTATTTCAAGAATAACTAAGATGTAGACTTACAATAGTAAAAAAGAAAAAGTCCTTGCAATTAAAATGAAAAAAATTCCATATTCCATATGAAAATTCCAATATGCTCCAGGTATTCTTGGTTTATACAAACGCAGCGTTGTTATAAATTTCACGTTTCTACGAACGCAGCGAATAAAAACGAAACATTTGTCATTCTAAGCTGTCTAACTCCAAACTTAAACTAGATTCATGTTAACTTACAAATATTCATAACAGTGAAACAGACAATATCATTTTATTTTTCTCCAAATAATATTAATTCTAAAAAATTTAAACAGAGATTAGATAACTATTTGATGAATGCCTAATTTAAGTATGAATAGATAGTGCATCAGACATAATGTATGAATTGTATGACTGAAATAACAATCATAAGAAGAAAATGACAAAATAAAGTATGATTGGAGAGCGGACTTGACTTAATGTATGAGAGGAACGTATGGCCGAAATGACAAATATGACGATTTGAAATACAATGTGTAATTGGATTTTAGATGAGTTTGCCTGAAATTGAAATTTGTAAAAATATTATTTTCTTTTACAATTGTTGATGGTACTATATATATCAATGCTGGAGACTTAATGTCTAGCCCGTACACTTTTTCATTACAATAAAGTCATATTTCTATTTATGGAATATTTCATGGGATGTAGGTTATTATTGTGCAAAAAACCGAATATACGCTTTAAAGTTAAAAATATATCCGGCTAAATTTATTGACACATAAATAATAATAATAATAATTACAACAGCAACAACAACAGCAAAGACAATGACAACGATAGTGATAAAAATAAATAAATGAATAATGAAAAACGATAAGTTGATTCGACTAACGAAACATCGACTGACTACTTACTACTACTAATAAAAAAATAATGATAAAAAACAAAACGAAGAAGATGTTAATAAATGAAATGCGTGGACCACTAACGCCCCAACAAGTGATCCAACTTACCTTCAGGCTTGCACGAACTGTCAGGTGAGAACGTGTTTATGCAGTTTTAAACACACAGCTATAAACTAACATCATCAATTGATGCATTCCTGTAACTAACTATGCTAATCTGTTAGCTAGCTACACAACTTATTCAGTCAATTGACCATAGGTTTAAGTAATTATTGTTTACTCTTTGTTTCGAGGCTATTTTTCCTTCAACAAAATGAATAGCCAGACAGAACGCTATAGAAGACAGTTTGTATTGGCAAGCCCGATCGTCCGTATGTAGGTACGGTCCTTAACAGTTAAAAATAAAAAAAGGCCACAGCCTCGTTTGGCCTTAAAAATTCATAACTCATCGTGAATAGAAAAATGAAAATTTTTTCTAGAAATTTTGTCAAACAGTTTATTGAAGAAATGAATGGATGGATGAATGAATGAATGAGTGAATACATAAATAAACAAATGATCGAACACGCAAACCAACGAATGAATGAATGAGTGAATGAATGAATGAATAAACAAACGATTTATATAATATGTAAATATATATTAAGCATTTTGATCTTGTAATTAAAAACACTCAACACACACACACACACGCGCGCATACAAATATCAAGTATAAAAATATTTGATTTGTAAAATTAAAAAAAATAATCTTAAAAAATAAATAAGCGAAAAAACCCACAAAAAACAACTAAACAGACAAAAGTTAATAAAAACACAATTCGTATATATATATATATATATATATATATATAGAGAGAGAGAGAGAGAGAGAGAGAGAGAGAGAGATAAAGAAAGAAGAAAGAGAGCTTAAAAACTTAACATTTAAAATTAACATAAACCAACAATTAGCTGAAAAAGAATGTAAATGAAATAAAAATAGAAAGTGCAGATGTGACATGTTGATTTATTCTGAAGGGATAAATGAATGATTGGATGAATAAATGAATGATCGATTGAATAAATGATTGAATGAATGAATGAATGAATGAATGAATGAATGAATGAATGAATGAATAAATGAATGGATAATCATGACTTGAAGTTTAAGGGCAGTCTGGCTCTCTGCGTCAGGCCTTCAAATCTCTTGTAGGTGTAGTTGAAGAAAACCCAATCGCATTTCGATGGATCGTCTGATGATTCTGATTGCGAGGCTGCCAATCAGTGAGTGATTGATTGAATGAGTAAATGAATAAGTGAATGAATGAATCAATCATCAGTAAATCAATCTATCTATCAATAGAGGAAAAGTCAAGTGAATTATTGAATTGATAGATGAATGGATAAACAAATGGATGAATAAAAAATAACTGATCGGATGAAGGGATGAATGAATGAGTGACAAACTGACGAATAAATGAATGAATGGATGCATGGATGAAATATGCAAAAATGAAAGTAGGAAACGAAACATACGCCATTTAAGATCAACGTCAGGAAATTCATCAAAGTTTGATGTATCGTCGATGCTTTTAACGTTAACTGGAATGACTGCAGGTCTGTCACTGAATCATTCAATCAATCAATCAATCAATCAATCAATCAATCAATCAATCAATCAATCAATCAATCAATCAATCAATCAATCAATCAATCAATCAATCAATCAATCAATCAATCAATCAATCAATCAATCAATCAATCAATCAATCAATCAATCAATCAGCCAACAAATCAATCAATCAATCGATCAATCAATCAATCGATCAATCAATCAATCGATCAATCAATCATTCAGCCAACAAATCAATCAACCATCCAGCCATCCAACCGTATATGGTCCCAATCAACTCCCGCAAAAAATGGATGTTCTTTAATTTCTTTGATGTTATTGTTCCCGCCAATTCTTCTCTCTCTTTCGCAACAAAAACTTTCGAACAAAGAAAGAAAAAAAATAAGACATTGTCTGTCAATGCGATGCTACAAACAACGCAATACGATGATACAAATAAATTAATGTAACTTATTGTATAAATTATTGAATGAAATAATAAATGAAGAAACAAACGAAAGAATAAATGAGCGAACGAAGGAATAAACAAATAAACGAATGAATGAATGAATGAATGAACGAATGAATGACACCTTTGAACGAGTGATCGAGCCTCATTAGAGATAGGAACTTCGGTTGGGAAGACTAAAGTTTGCTTCCAATTCATCACCTTCCTGTACGTTTCTTGGGGACTCTCAGAGCAAAATGGAGGATAGCCTGTTGTTAGCGTCGTTGTTTAATCGATCAATCGATCGTTTGACCGACTGATCAACCAACCAGACAACCGACCAATCAATTAATCAATCCATTAATCAATCAATCAATCCATTAATCAATCAATCAATCATTTAATCAATCAATAATTAAATAAAAACTAAAACATTTATCAAACACCACCAAAATTAAACAAAATACTTCATAATATTAGCAATAAATCAACTAGCCATTACTAGTTGATAAAATAATAAGTTTAAAAATTAGCTGACCAGTAAACAATAATTCGACAATACAACCGACCAAAAAACAAGAATTTGACAATAGAACTGACCAATGAGCATCTCAAACATAATGACTCCAAGCGACCACCAATCGCAACTGTTTGTGTATCCAGTCTGCAGGAAGACCTCAGGTGCTATGTAATCCGGCGTCCCAACTGTCGAATATGCCTGCATAAATTAAAAATTTAATTAGGCCCATTATATTAATTAGGTCATGAATATTAATTAATAGTGAGCATTCGTATGCACATAGCATAATAGGGCAAGAATGTTAGGATTGAATGATTGAGCATATTGTGCAGACAGGTACAAATACAAAATATAATTGGATAAATAAAAAATATAATTGAAAAACTAATTGAAACGACAACAATGTTGAGTTTGATCAGTGAGTTAGCTTAGCTCAGTCAGTAAAAGTGCCAGCCCTTGCGTTGTTACTGCGTGCTGACCTGGTTCGAATGCTGTCTGTCCAAAATGATTCTGCAAATGTAAGAGCCGCATAGTAAAGAAAATAAGTAAGTGGAATCAGCCATAGAACACTGAAGAACGTACCAGCGCTCTCCTTCTGCTTCTCCATGACTGCTTCTTCGAATCCATTGGACTGGAAACTGTTGATGTCGTCGTCATCATCACATGTATAATATTATACTATTATAATTAATATTCAAAGACAAATCAAACTAATTAGCAGACTAACAAAACATAAACAAACAGATAAATACTAAAACAAATAAAAATTTACACAAGCAAAGAATGAATAAATGAACAACGAGCAAACAAACAGACAAACAAACAGACAAACAAACAGACAAACAAACAAAGAAACAAACAAGCAAACCAAAATCAGATGACTTGGCCTGTTTGAGGTCCTTATAGAATTCAGTCCTGTGGGACTTCTTCAGGCCTGTGCAGAGGCCAAAATCTGAGAGCTTTATATGGCCCTAACAACGCAATTAATTGTTACCCTCGTCAGCGTAATAGCATAATAATTCACTGTGACATTTAGTACTTGTTACTGGTGTGTTATACCGTTTGTCATGGTAATTGTTTTCATTTTTACAACAACAAAACAAAACAACACAACACACATAGACACACACACACACACACGTGAATCAACGCATGACACACAAATTTGCATATAATAAACAGGAATTTCTTTGAAATTGAACCAGGTCACTTTAACAGAGAACGCAGCACTTTAAACTATTAGGCCACAAGGAGCACAGACTCACCCTTGCATCTAGCAGTAGGTTATCAGGTTTGATGTCTCTGTGTATGAATCCAAGCTGGTGTATGGAGTTGATGGCCAGGACTGTTTCTGCTATGTAGAACTGCGTTTGCTCCTCTGTCATTGTGTCCTTCTTCATCAGCATGGTCATCATGTCACCTGGCGTTCGTTGTGGTGATAAAAATGATGCCGACTAACACTGATCAGAACAATCATAGACTAACACTGATCATAACAATCATAACACTACACCAACTTCAGCAACATTGAAACCACCACCATCAAAAGCATCAGTGGCTACAGCAACAGCAACCTCCAGGTAGAAATTCCATGATAAGATAGAGGCTGGTGGAGTCCTGAAATGAATAGAACATCTTAACGACCCACAAGTGATCTGCTTCGACGAGGACATCTCTCTCCGCTCGCACATGTGCTATCTACATTTTGTGATACATATATCAATTTTTGCAAATTCTTGATCTTTCACAAGCATATCACGACCACTATCATTATCATCTTTATCTTCTTCATCACTACCATCATCATTGTATCCCATGACATGACATGACATGACATGATATCACATGACATCATCACATCATCATCAAGAAAGATAAGATGGACTACCTGATCCTTCTCTAGCATATCAGCCTTCCTTAGAATCTTCATGGCATACACGTGACCAGTATCTCGTTTCTGAACTAGTCGGACCTTGTGGCGAGTAGTTTGAAGAAAAATTATCATGATATTTTTTATCATCTTTATCATTATGACCAACATCATCATCATCACCATCATAGACATCACCAATATCATCATCATCATCATAATCACATCATCCTCATTGACATTATTTTTGTTATCACCATTAATTAACATTTTCATCAGATTTATTTTAATTAAATATTATCTTCCAAATCATCATTCTTTAGTAAATAACAAGGTAGTTAGGCATGTAAATAATGTTACCAGATTTTGCACTAACTTCTCCAAAAGCTCCCCGACCTATGACCTTCAGTGGCTCGAAATCAATGACGCCAAGTTTTGCTCGTTTTAATCGCAAAAATTCTGTCTCTTTAAGAGCGTGCATCTGTCGTTTTTCACATTTCTGTCCAAAAAATAAATTTATAAATAAATATTTTCAATTGTCAATTAGATAATAAGAAAATAAATTTATTTACTGTAAGTAAATGAAATCATTTGAAACAAAATTGAGCTATGCAAATAAAATAATGATTAAAAATTAATAATTAAAATAAAACTATGAATAGTATTTATTAACTAAATATAAAAAAGATAACAATCAATAATATTATTTAATTATTTATTAATAAACGAATAAATAAAATTCAAAATTCAAACAACAAACCTGTTCATCTGTTAATCCTTCTCTTTCCATTGATCGCTCCAACTGTTTTATTCTGCAACCAATGAAAACAACCAATCACTTGAATTAGTAATGAACACCACAATTAGATAAAAAAAGTAGCAAATCATGTAATGATGGAGGAACAAATGAAATGAAACTAATGAAATAAAAGGATCATTCTAATAATCAATCAACAACAACAGACAGAAAGATCGAGACAGACAGACAAGCCTAACCAAACCTGGTTTCTCTTTCTTCATGCTGGGTAATGAGATTAGTGTAATAATTCTCCAGAGTCATCTTAGTCTTGTTGACCTTCTCAAAGACATGATTGTTGTTGTTGACGCTGTTGCTCTTCAAAGTCTGATCGTCGGCAGAAGACATCGTGAGACAAAAAATAATTCTTAAAATACTACCAGAGACAATTTGAAAGCCATTCAATGTTTACTTTACAACAATGAGCTCTGAGATTAGCTTTATACTTAATGTAATTTAAAAAATTTGGTAAAATGTAGAATGTGCAATATATCAGCTTTTATTCAATGTATATGAATATGATATAACATATCATATATAACATATATTATATTTTCTAAATGTTTATGAAACCAGCCGGTGTACTTAATTAAGCGCTTTCAAAGTCGCGGAAATGGCTCTCTGAACTTTGTAACTATAAGGTAGCCAAAGAAAAAGGTTTCAGTAAAAAAATTGGAAAGAACAGAGGCAGAGTTGTTGGTGGCAAAGACGTTAAAAATGTTAATACCGACGTCAACATAATTTCTTTTTCACTAACACAAGCTATTTATGATTTATGCTTAAAATGGAGATTGCTTTGCGTTCGAACCTCGTCAACGTGCGACTCTTCACGGAATGGCCTTGGAGTAAAACTAGATTCTCTTAAGGCGTACACTAATAGAGCACCTATAAATATTCATGATTGTTGACCTATATAATAAAAGAACAAATACAATAAAGAAACATTCACATTTAGTATTGCTTCTGAAAGAAAAAGTAGTAATTGATGTTGCCATTCATGTTCATGTATGTACCCTCAATTAATAGCTTATCTAACGTACAATAATTATTGCTCAGGTGAAGGTTGGCCATAAGATCATTAATTTATTGACGGTTTGTTTATTCATTCATTTCTGCGCATCCATCCATTCATTATTATCCCTCATCCTTTATATTTATTCCCACACTTGTCCATTCACTCATTCACTTATCTGACCATCTTCTTACCATTTTTTATCCACCCATTCACGTATACAGCTATTTATTCATGCATTTGTTCATTCAATTGCTGTTTAATGTTCATTGATTCATTCGTTTATCGCTCATTCATTCGTTCATTCTTCTGTCGCTAAATGAAATACGAGCACTATCTATTGATTGATATTGACGTATTGATTGAATAATTTTGCCCAGGAAGGAGAACATTAATGACGCGATCGATGTTGAGCATACGTTCATCCAACGTTCATTCAACGTTCATCCCTATTTGCGAACATTTTTAGCAGGCAAACAGTGAGCTAAATAGAGTTCGTGCATTTGCATGCACTTGGATACAATATCACTTTTACCAAAAATGTTTCTGAGCTGATGTTGTGTGCCAATGCATGCTACAGCTTAACGCAAGAAACACGTATGAAGATGTATTGCAACTCTATTATGAAATTACTGCAAGGTTAGTAGATAAATCAAATGCCGTTCTCCTCTATATCATGCCCTTGAAGCCAAGTATGAGATGAATTGTTCCGTGATCACCTTCCTACCTGCCTGCAGCCTGGTACGACGTTCTCACCTGATTGTACAACCAACGAGCATTGATTTCGTAGAATTTATTGATTTGCTTCATGTCTTGATCTAGTTTTGACATTTTGCAGCACATATCTCACTGCACACGAGTAATTGCTTGCTACTCAATCATGGAAAATTGTCTGAAACTGAAGCGAACTCGTAAAAATATTGTAAATTTATATATAGAATATCGTCTTTTGTTTTTCTTACCGCATGAATTTGAATCATCTTGTACCTCGGATGATCTAGAACTTCTGAACTACATTCTACCCTTGAATGTTCTTGAACCCTGGATGACCTTGCACTCTGGATGTCACATTCGATTTATTTGCTTTTACTGAGTCATGAAATGCTTCTCAGTCCCAACCAACTATCTTTGCCTGAAAGTAAAAAAAATTTGGTGTTTTCAATTGAACGTTATTCTGGTTTCAAAAATTGTGGCCACATATATTTTTTGTAACACACGGAAAAGCGATAAAGAAGATTTGCTTACAAGAAAAGCTAAAAATCCATGTTTTTCGAGTTTCAAATGTAAATTTTGAGACGTGAAAGGTGGTTAAATCACATTGGATAAATTTTGAGTGTACATTTAAGATAGGTATAAATGTATGTATTTTACTTAGGTTTTGCACATAAAGTAAAAGATTATATATATACACAAAAATACAGGCAAGAAAAAACCACACAGCCAGGCAACTCCGCCAATAAAAAATCTCTAGTGATGATACCTAGCACTTTTAATTTAACTAAGTGGGTACATATGCACAATTGCACATATGCACAATTCGCATCAAAGTTCAATTTTACAACACCAAAGTTAATTTTTACAACGTCAAAGTTAATCTTGACAAAGTCAATATTTCCCTATATATATACAACAAGGAGCACTGACGATGATTCATTCGGAATCGAAATATGGCCTTATTTGCAGCATGAATTCGAAAAATAAGTTTATTTTGAATTTTAATAAACTAAACGTTCACCAAAAAACTTTAGTGAGAAAAATCGAAAAAACGAACTACAAACATATTAACGCCAAACATTCGGTAGAATTTATAGAATATTGTAAAAATTATATATAGATACATAGACAATTATATATAGATACATAGACAATTATATACAGATATTTAGACAATTATATATAATACATAGGTTTATAAATACATACGTATGCACACATGTACACACACAACACAATCACATACATGCATACTCAAACATCCAAACTTACATGGGTAAATAGACGTTGACGAGTATGATGCTAATTTCGAACACAACTTACCTTACCGCATCTTGCTGTTTGTGTGATTGATGGTCCACGGTTTCAATGACTTTGTTTGGGTTTTTAAAATAATTTAATTTAATTTTTATTTATTTAAAGTTTAAAAATATTCTTATGGAAAAATAATTGAAAAATAATTGAAAAAAGTTAGCTAGCTGGCATGAATTTTTATCAAAAGCAAATTTTAATAATTAAAAAAGTAAAATAAGCAAGAAATGTATACAGTTTAACTGAAAACAATTTACGAACTAAAAGTATGTATGTATGAATATGTATGGAATTAAATACACACGCAACACACCACACACACCACACACACACACACACACACACACACATGTATATATAATTGGCAAGGAAATATGCACTACAAAGCATTCACAATTTTATATCCATTCTGTCTTTCTGCATTTATCATCAACAAACACTACGAAAAACGATAACGATGATAAAAAAAGGAAGAAAAAAATGCCGATGATAACAATTAAGATGATGAGGACGACAACGATGACTATGATATTAATGATGATAATGAATTGATATAGTATTAAGCACCGGTACCAAACTATGCAGGTAGGCATAAAGGTATGCACTTAAATAACACAAACTTACTTATACACATGTACTGTACATGGTGTATATATTGTATGTATGTACGTACGTATGTGTGTATGTATGTATGTATGTATGTATGTATGTATGTATGTATGTGTGTGCGTGTGTATGTATATAGATGTATGTATGTATTTTTATTCTCATAAGCATTCATTCCATTTTCACACATAGGTATGCGACAATTTGCAGAATTGGCGGATAATGCTCGCGTATTACGTTTAATTAAAATCATTGAGAGGAGAATTAGGTACTGTGAAGTATTCGAACTGTTGTACTTTAATTAATTTATACCGTTTGCATGTGTACGTCATACATACATGTATGTACCCTGCGTATGTTTGTATGGAAGTATGTAGGGGATCGTAGGCGAGTGCCGATATACAAGGATTAATACATTTGTTAAAGAAAGACTTCAAACTGGAGTTGTGATGATTTCATCAAAGACATCGCCAGCATCATCACCATCAGCAGCTTCCTCATCATCATCGAAGTCTGAAAAGAATTTAAAATGCAATCCAGCGAAGAAGAGGAGCATTGATGATGATGATGATGAGGAGGAGGAGGAAGACGAAGATGCTTCGAAACCATTGTTAAATGACAACAACAACAGAGTTGATGCTACAAATGTCAACAACAATAACAATAATAGTAATAATGACAACAACAAGTTGATAAAAAAAAGTCTGAAGAGAAAATTTAAAAGCTATAATGAAAAAAGTGACGTCAACGATGATGATGTGGCTCGAGAAGCATCATGGCTCTTGGATGTTCCAGCATTCAGCGCACCTCAAGACAGAACTTTTACAAATCGCGTCAATACATCAACGACATTTTTGTTGAAGTCACCAGCAACAACATCGTCGTCATCTTCGTCTTCATCACCGTTTTTATCATCCTTATCGCAATCGCACGTAACAACTGCAACGTCATCGTCATCATTGAAAAATTTATATTCTGCTTCAACAACTATTTCAACGACAACAATTTTTGCAACAATACCGAAAACAAATCAACCGTCAAATAGCTCCACTCTTAAATCAACAACAACATTTATTTTACCAACAGAGTCATTACCAACATTTAAAACAGCAACGCTACAGCAGCAGCAGCCACAACGACAACCAAAACAACATACGGCACTGGAAATAAAGAAAGCAGGTCTCCATGATGAGAACCGGTTTGCACGGACGAACGAGGCGAACCAGTCATGCAGAACAACAACTGCGAACATGAAAAGTGAACGGGATGATAGTGATGATTATGATGTTGGTGGAAAGAAACACTGTGATGATGATGATGATGATAATAACAGGTATGTTGACGCTCTTTGTAGGAAAAATGTTGGTGGGTCAGTCGCATCATCAACTTCAACAACAACAACCTCAACCCTGACAACAACATCAACAACTGCAACATCGATAACATTAACAGACTCTAACAATACTACTACTACCGTGATGCTGTCAAAACCATTAACTATTTCTGCCAAAACGTTAACAGCAACAACAACATCAACCACAGCAGCAACAACAACAACTACAGCAGTAGCAGCAGTAACAACAATATTAACTTCAACAAGTTCACGTAACGCTTCAATCTATACCTCATCAAAAACGACTTCAGCGATAATATCTCATGTAAAATTGCCACCACAGCCACAAACCTCACCACTAGCGACAACATCGTTAGCGGCAACCACATTGACGACACCAACAAAATCAATAACATCTTTTGCCACAACGCTAACATCAAAATCAATAACAAAATCAACGACATCATCAACATCAACGACGTCCTTCGTTTCAGCCACATCAACCACAAAACAGCCGAAAACCACATCGGCGTACATCAATATTGACTCCCCCATCCACAACTGCAACAGTTGCAGAAGTGACTTCAAATACGAACCAAACGTTCATTTCATTGTGTTCGACGACAACAACATTCCACAAATTGATGAGTACATCATTTCAACAACAAAACATTTGACGACAAGAATTCCATCACCGCCGCTAGAAGCAGCTGCAGCAGCAACAACAACCACAACAACAACAACAACATTAGCAGCAGCAACAAAATCATCATCAGTCGATAGCACGTCCCACAAGCACTCGTCGTCAACCAACAGTAAAATCACGACTATTTATGAAAACACAACGTCTACGTACTGCAACTCAACAACAACAACATCATCATCCAGGACTTTTACCACATCAACAACAACATCAATCACCACAAAACCGATCAAGCCAACAACACTTATCAACATACCCTACAGCATTGGCGGGCTGGCTTCAATCTCTTACAAACGAACGCAACTGCCGCCACCACTGATACTACACAACAGCAACTACAACACCAACAACTACGGCAGCAGCAACAACGCAAAACAACGACGTTTTAGACTTAACGCCCCGCTGCAACATCATTACAGTGAAGACTTCCTCGATTCGACAGTTTATTACGACGACCACGTGGTCGCTGAGGACTACATCGTATCGCCAACGCTTCTCTTCAACTCACGACAACAATCCAACAACAACAACAACAACAACAACAACCGCAGCATCAAACTGCAACAATTATCCAGTGCCAAAAATCGGCATCTTTCCTGTTCAGCTGGACTTGCAGGAAGTCTCATAGGTGTCGCTAACATCGCCGGATTTGTTGATGACGTCAGTTTGTATGGAACGCCGAAAGAAGATTTTTCGCCGACTAAAGAACCGGAAATGGTTAGTAGTTTTGTGAAAGCAGAACGAAATGTCGCTGGTTGAATTATTTAATTAAATTTATTTAATGCATTATTAATAAAATTAATGTTTGCGAATGACATAGAATGCTTAGCAAGAATATAGTGGCAATTTAAAAGCATGAGTGCATTTCTATATTGATGAAAAAACAATGATAAAAAGATTATTATGATGACGTCATCGGCCGTACGATATTGTCACAATCTTGCCGTAATTCGATAGCGAACTAATACAGTCATGCTAACTCAATTGCAAGGACAATGGCTGGCTGTGTGAGAGTGCGTGAAATTTGAAGTGAGCAGTAATTGCGCCCGTTGTTGTTGTGGCCATTGATTGAGGCGAGGAATGGAACGATGGTGACGTTAGGTCGGACGTTGAAATTAATTCTCCATGATCAAAGATCACGCATACATTTGGCGGAAATAAAAATGGCGAGCAATGTAAGATAGCGTTAATTGCAAATATAATTAATGTTTTAACAATGTCTCTTGCGCGTTACAATGTAACTAGCCAATCTTAACTATCTCAACAAAACATGACACAAAATTACAGCAACAACAACAACAACAAACAACAACAAATATCAACAACAAACAAATCACGAGCAACAACCCCGTCAGATAAAATCAGCCAACGGCAGCAGTTTCCTGAAGGAGCAGATAATTTCCTTCTTCCAGCCCTCAGACAACAAACTGGCCATGAAGTTGTTTGGGAACAAGAAGGCTCTTATGAAGGAGAAGATGCGTCAACAGGAAGCTGGAAATTGGATCATTCATCCCTGTAGCAACTTCAGGTTGGTTGACTGGTTACTATACGCAGTGCACATTGGCGCCAAATAGTGGGAGAGAAATTTTTTCATCATTTTGAAAAAAAGATCAAATCAGTCGGAATAGTCACAGCGAACTTAAATTTACATTCCAAAATTTTGCTATTTCAACAATTCGGCCTTGAATCATATGTTTCCAAATGATAATTACCCCAAAAATTTGAATTTTCGATGATTTGCCGCTTAAATTATTTCAAAACATGGCGCCTGCCACTGCTTGAGTTTTTATTTGTTTATTTATTTTTAATTTATTCAGGTATTTATTTAATGTGCTCATACTTTCATCAATTAACTTTTTTCTTTGCTCGCATCACATACATCACTTACTAACTTAATTATTTAATTACATATTAATTTACTTGTTTATTTACTTGTAATTTATTCAGTTATTTGCATAACTAAATGTTCTTTTTATTTTACTGTTTCATACCTACTATAACTCAGTTGTTCATTCATCATTCACTCGCTCATTCACTCATCTGCCTATACAGATATATACTCACTTATCTACTTACATACTTTTCTACTAACTTACTTATGCACCATCACTTATTTGAGATAATTGGATTGCCGGTACCTTGGCTACCTGGCTCTTCTGCGGTTGATTGATTAGTTGGCTGATTGATTGGTTGGCTGATTGATTGATTGGTTGGCTGTTCGGTGGTTGATTGGTTAATTGGTTGACTGTTTAAATAATTGGTTGGTTGGTTAATTGATTGAGTTGCTGGTCAAATGTTTGGTTTGCTGATTGATTTATTAGCTAAAGATTGGTTTTTGGATTGAATTTTTGATTAACTGATTGCCTGGTTGATTGTTAAATAAGTTTGTTATGTTCAGATAAAAAAACCCAAAATATTGAAAAAAATAATTAAAATACAAAAATTTAAATTAAAACTAATGCGACAAATTACGTCAAATGGCTATTTCGCATACTTTCAATTAATTGGTTAATTAAATGTTTTAAAAATAAAACAAATTACCAGCTTAATAATTAAGGAAAAACTAAAAAAAATAAAGAAAAATGAATTAAAAAATTGAATTGAAAATTTTAGTAGTGCATTGGAGGAAATAAATTGATGAATGGGATGGGTGGAAAGTTTGAAAGGATGAAAGAAGGATAGGTGATTGTCGTAATCTGGCAAGCAATTAAATGAATAATGAGTGAATGATTGTATGAACGTGCTAATGAGTGAATGAATGAATGAATCTCTCAAAGAGTGACTGATTGAGTGGGAGAATGAACAAATAAATGGATAAATAAGCAAACGAATACAAAAATGAATGAATGAATGAATTAATTAATTAATTAATTAATGGATATAATTAAATATTGGCATAAATGAACATATGAATGAACAAATTTAAAAGTTGAATGTTTCATGTCTTGAATGACCGAGTAGATGAAATTAACAAACAACTAGATAAACAAACATGAACAATAAATCATGAACAGAAAAATCGAATGAGTGATTAAACAAATGAATGAACTAATAGACAAACAAACAAAAGAAAGAACAAGCGAACAAACGAACGAACAAGCGAACAAACGAACGAACAAACGAACGAACCATTGAACGATAGCATTGTCGTCGGATTGACGAACGGCAATGCAGACTGACTGCAATAAATATGAAAATAAAAGAAATTGCGTGCCCTGATTCCATGCACTGAGTGCTGATGATGACGACGACGATGGTGGCGATGATGATGTGGACATGGTGGCGGCGATGATGTGGTGTAGTGATGGTGATGATGATGTGGTGATGATAACAATGATGATGATGATGATGATGATAACAATGATGATTTTGATGATGATTGAATTTTATGTTGCAATCTTTGTGACCATGATGAAAATGATAATAATGACAACGACGGAGCGAATGATGATGGTTTGATGGTGCTACCTTGTAACACAGTAACGATGAAATGGTGATAATAATGGTGATAATAATAAAACTGGGATTATGGAATGATTAAAGTAAGATGATGATGATGAAGGATTAAAATTTTTTAGCACCTTCTAGATTAATCTTAAAAACTTCCTTTCACTAATCTCCAACATCTTTCAATTCGAAAAACCATTGACATTAAATAATAATAATAATAATGATATAATAATTATTATTATAATTATAATAATAACAATAATGATAATAATGATGTGGGTAGTGCAACGTGGTAAGGCGCCTGATTCTACTGTTGCATTGTCCGGATTCAAATACAAATAGATCCTCACCTACCATCTGCCACGTGTTTGATGCGTGGATTTGCTCGCACTTACGTCTGCTGTTGATACCTTTGAGGATTAATTAAAAGAAATTCATTAATAATGACGACGATGATGGTAATGATTATAGTTGTCATCATTGCAAATGGCAGCCATCATTATCATCACCACCACTCTTGTCATCATCATCCTCCTCTTTCTCATCATCATCATCATGACCATCATCATCCTCACCATCGTAAATGTTATCTTCGTGCTACCATTTTCATCATCGTTATTTTCATCGCAATCATCGTCTCCATCATCCTTTTCATCACCATCGTTATCATCGTCGTCCTCATCTCCATTTTCATCATCACGTCGTCTTCATCTTCATCACATTTCCACCAGCATCAGCATTGTTTCCCCCTTTCCACCCATGTTTGCAGTTGTCATTATATTTTTTCCATCCATAGCTACTAAGATTAATTTTGTTTGGAAATCCATTTTCCACCGAGTTTGATTTGTAGCGAGATTAGCCAAACAATTGAAAACTTGTCGAATGAAAACATCAAGGAATGCCTCAGCAACCAGTCCTCAATGCTGTAGAATAAAAAGTAACTTTGCCGCTTATATTGTTTTGTCTTAAAAATGTTTTTTTGTTTGTTTGTTTTTTGTCACCAAAAATAACTCCAAAATGTTTTTTTTATAGAAATTTTATGTTGCGTTGATAGGGTTTATAAATGAATGAATGAATGAATGAATGAATTAATTAATTAATGACACAAAATTCGTAAAATTCGTATGAAAAATGGTAGAGAGTGAATCACTTAATTTTTTTTTCTTCCTGACAAATTATTTTCTATGTATACAAAAAAACTTCTCTTCGATATCATCCTTACCTTACAAATACACTTAAAGTCGGTAGCTTTGGAATTTAATTGAATAGGATTTCTAAGTTTTTATTTGAAAAATAGAAAGAGAGTGAAAATAAATAATTCGTGAAACGGGAGATGTTTGAGAAAAAAAATTTCAAAGTGAGTCAAAGATTTTTTCCTAAGTGGTTGGATTTAGTTGGATGTTACTGGGACAGCCATCTTATTCTATGGTGCAATCCGTTTTTTTGTCTGCCTGGCACATGCACGTGACGTCACGTTGCTGTTTGTGTTGACGTCATGATGTTGTTCGTGTTGGTCTCATGATGTTGTTCGTGTTGATGTCATGATGTGGTTTGTGTTGATGTCATGATGTTGTTCGTTTTGATGTCATGATGCTGTTTGTGTTGATGTGGCTTGTGGCAGAGACTGTAGTCGTTGATATTGTTTGCGTTGTTGATGTTTTTCTGCGTAGGTGTTGATGTTGTTTGTATTGATGTCGCGAGGAATCTATTACCATGGTTAGTTACCGGTTGACTAGTTTCAAATAAACAACTCGTCAGTATTCACTTGGTTTTTTTTATAAACATTTTGTTTGTTTCTTTAAATTACATTAGACGTAGTTTCTATTTGAGCGTTAAACATGCACACGTTCTTCAGAGTTGAGTTTAAAAAGTGGACATTTAATGCGAAAATATTTTTTGGCTTTCTTTCAACTAAGTCGTCGGCATCGTTACTATCATCATTTTTTGTTTTATGGCCTCTGTTGCATCGTCATCACCGTCGTCCTCATCATCGTCATCATCATCGTCAGCATCATCATCATCACCATCGTCAGCATCATCATCATCACCATCGTCAGCATCATTGCTCTAGACCGCACCTCATTTCACTCACATTGTCCCTTGATTGACACCCTTAAGCACTGGGAGGGAGGAGGTGGAAAGAAGAAAGAACCAAATCAACATTAGCACCACTACCGATATCATCATCAGCATCATCATCCTCTTCTTCTTCTTTTTAATCAGCATCATCATCTTCATCATCATTATCACCATCATCATCTTTTTCTTCTTTTTCATTATTCATTTTTTTTCATTCCTCCTCCTCTTCATCATTTATCATCATTCATCATCATCGTCACACCACCATCATCGTCATCAGCATCATCATCGTCATCAGCATCATCATCGTCATTGTCAGCGTTATTATCCAAGATATACTTCCTCTATTGACTTTCCTTTTTAGAGCAATGGTGAAAGAAAAAAGATAAATGAAAAAGAGAATGAAAAAGAATGAGTGAGAGAAAGAAAGAGAAAGAAAGAGAGAGAAAGAGAGAAAGAGATAGAGAGAGTTATTATATTATTTAGCACTGGACTTCAGACGTTGAGCAAATGTCACGTGAAAGAATTAAGCTGGATCATAGTGATGATGATGAGACGATTGTAAGGACGAGTAGGATAACGACGATGATAAAAAGGATGATGATGATGATGATATCTTTGTAAGCAGTGCCAACCATGCTGATGATACTGTTACAACTGATGATGAAGAAGATGATGAAGAAGATGATGATGAAGATGAAGAAGAAGATGATGAAGATGAAGATGATGCTGACTTGACTCAGTAATCAGGATAATGATGTGATGCGGTGATTGACAATTGAGCGTCGTGTAAGATGGATGAATGGTTACGGATATACACAACTTGCTAATGACGTATGTATGTATGTATGTATGTATGTATGTATGTATGTATGTATGTATGTATGTATGTATGTATGTATGTATGTATGTATGTATGTATGTATGTATGTATGTATGTATGTATGTATGTATGTATGTATGTATGTATGTATGTATGTATGTATGTATGTATGTATGTATGTATGTATGTATGTATGTATGTATGTATGTATGTATGTATGTATGTATGTATGTATGTATGTATGTATGTATGTATGTATGTATGTATGTATGTATGTATGTATGTATGTATGTATGTATGTATGTGTGCGTGTGTGTGTGTTGTGTGAGATAGAGTTTGCTTGTGTTTTTGGGTTTATTTATACAATAGATGGTTTGCGCGGACGCACACACA